AGTCTTATGTACTAGATGGAATGTAACTTTCACTGAGTTTGAAGTATGAGCACTGTTTTATAACTGAACTGAACAAGAATGTAACCTTTAACCATGTTTTAATTAACTACAATGTGTATCCACTCTAAACACTGTGATGTGCTCATGAGAGTGATGCTCAGCACTGCTTCACATGGAGGGAGTCACAGGAAGGAGCAGAATGATTGAAATCAGTGGACATAAGATGTCTGGCTACACTCCACTGTTTTACATTTAATGAACTGATAAGGACAAGTTTTAACTTTCTCAGCATTATTGAGTGTGCATGTAATCATTATGTGTATGTGTGCCTTTGATCACAGAAAAAGTACCTTGGTTTTAGGGCGGAAGATTTAACTGTCATGAGAGAAGTATTGTGTATGGTGGGATAGAAACTTTGGTTGGGTGCTGATTGATCTCAGCTGCATCCTAAGGAATGTAAGTAGGCGGGAAGAGTAGTATATAATACACAATGTTAGAAAGATCAGATCAGATCATTTTTGGCTGTTGCTGTGATCTCCAGATGCGCATCTGTGAATAAAAGGTAATTATTAATTAAGTGCACTTTGGTATTTTGTGGTGTTTTGTGACTGACTATTTTTTCCATCATCTGAAACCCGATGAGGAAGTGGTTGACTTCCGACATGCTGAACAGCACGGTGCACAACACATTAACACAAGCTTGTGGTTTACTATGTAAAGTTGCATCTCCATAAGCCCTATGTTTGTTTTTTTCAAAAGCATAAGAGCAGTTTTTTGCTGCTGGAAGAGTGTGTCAATGTCAAGCATCCACAGTCTTACCCAGTCTAATATCCCATATGTCAGAAGCTTGCCGTGGGTTTTATTATTGTGGCATAATTCATACTACATTCCTGACGTACTAACGCATATACAGACAAGAACGCACACACTCCCACTTTCTGTGGAGTGCTGCAGTGCCTAATCCAGTTGTGTGCTCTTTAGTTATGCTGTATCTCACTGCACAACAATTGTTTTGGGAAAAATCTGTGCTTGTCAGTGGATTGTATTGGTGTATGTATGGCTATATGTTGTGAGGACCAGTTTGAGTGTTATACCATGGGAGTGAGGACAGTTTGGTCAGTCCTCACTGTCGGACTCCCCCTCAAAAGACTGTTTGAGGGTAAAGACTTCAGGTTAGAAGGGTTAGGGTTAGGGTAGAATTAAGGTTGTGATAGTTAAGGTTAGAGTACGGGGGCTAAGAAAAGCAGGGAAAGACAAGGCTATGTTTGTCAGTACAGTGTAACATGGGGGAACAACACAGTTCCAGACAGGGCTGAGGCAAAACCCCTGGGTGAGCTGAGGATAGCTGCTTTCTGTTAGAACTTTAAAAAATATTCTTGTCCCCTCCTTCAAAAGGTACCTGGTTTTGATCTCATTTAATCATGTTCCTTTCATTGTTTCCAGTTCTTTTATACAAAGTTATAGCTTGTGTGGGTTTATCTTCACTAAAGCTGACTTGTGTTTTCCAGGCTGCATACTGGACACTGACCAGTCTATTAGGTTGATCCTGATGGAATTCTAAAGAGCTGTTCTGGAATAAAAGCTACTTTTATGACATCTAAAATGCTCTGTGTTTGTTGACATTATCACAGGTTATGTGAAAACAAATATACTGGATGTTGTAGCACTAAGAACCTCTGTACTGAAATGCAACAGATTGTACAAGTGTACTAATAATAAAGTGGCCAGTGTGTGGTATATATATATTGTTACAAATGTCACACTGGTGGTAATTTATTGAACATCAACAAGTACATCAAAAAGGTCCCAAAATGCTTCAGGGATCAATTACCAAAAGACGACTATCCACTGTGACTCATGTAAGGTTGTGACATGTTCCATTTATTCACAGAAATCAATAAAAATAAACAATGCTCCATACAATACAGTGCTGTGAGTTTCAAAACCACTTTTTCTATCCAGACACATTGACATCTGAATAACTTAGAGTTAGTTCTGAAGAACTCAGGAGACATGTTGGCATCACAGTACTGATCAGCAGGGCCTAACAAACAATGATTGTCATTACTGAGCCATCTATTAATTTGCTGTTTTAAATTATGAGTATTAGTTTTGGGTTTCTTACATTAGATCAAAATGCGGTGTCATTTAAAAAACAGTATTTCAAGAGCTCACCGAAATCCCAGACTGTTTATGTGCCGGCTGCCCAGCCTGGAGAGGCTCATTTTGGCTGAGTCTTCCAAGTTGTTGGAGCCCTCATCATTGACCACCATGGCCAGTATGAGCCCCGCTTTCACGCCATCAACATACTTTGCAAGGCGACGACTCTCATCCTTACTGCGGTAAGTGTCAAACCTGGGGGGTGAGGGGAGGTTAAAAGTGTTGATCAACAACTACTGCAGGTACAGCAACAATGTAAATGTGCACCGACATCTGGTCAATTTAATATCAGGTTTAGAAATATTAGTACTATATTGATCAGGGACATGCACATAAATGACAATTCATCCAAAAGTATGATTAAGCAGGAGGAAGCTGACAAAAAGACAAAGGTTTTGGAGGAAGTTGAAAGTATTATTTTTAAAAAATTGACAAAAAGTTGAACAAAATAAAAAGTACAAAAGTTAACAATAAGAAAAGTAATAGCTGTCAGGTTTGCCTGGCTGCACCTTCCTCTCTTTCTCTCTTTCTCGCCCTAGTCTGTTCCTTTACACTGATTTTCTTGATTAGACACATCTGCCCTGATTTTCTGACACTCTTCAGCTGCGCCTCCTTTGTCACTCCTTATTTATACTCGGCTTTACTATTACTCCCTTGCTAGTTCTTTCTCTGTTGTCAGCCTCCCTTGTATTTATGTGTTGTCCTTATTCTCCTGATTCCACGTAAACTCCACCTTGACCAGCCCAGGAGTGACTCCTACCCCCCGCAGCCCGGTCTAACATCACTCCACGGACAATAACCCCTCCACTACTGTTGGTCAACACCCGGTGATTTCCTGCCTTCCATTTTGTATATATTTATGTGCACCTCTGTTAGCACTGTTAAATAAATTCACTACTTGCACCGAAGCCAGCCGCCTGGGTCTGTTAATTCTCTGCTCGCTCACAGTTGTGTCGAGCAATCCTAACAATAGCCCTAAAAGCACACGTTTTAAAGTTCCATCCATTATCTATACTATCCCAGCAGACACTGGGTGAGAGGCGGGGTCCACCCTGGACAGATTGCCAGTCTGTCACAGGGCTAACATGTAGACAACAACCAAACACTCACACTCACTTCTAGGGGAAATTTAGAGTCACTAGTCAACCTAAGCTTTGGACTGTGGAAGAAAGCCAAGGTAAACAGAAAGAAACCATGCAGGGTCAACTCCACACAGAAAAGCGCCAGGTCGGCCCGGGCTCAAACCTGGAAGGTTCTTGCTGTGAAGTGACAGCCCTAACCACTGCCCCACCATGCCATCCTTTGAACAAAGTTTCCAGCTCCGTCAACAAAAACATGCTCAAACATAAGTTAAATAACTAATGATATCCACTAGTAAAACACTCTCCCACTTCAAAGCAAAATTTGGTGTTAATACCACTAATAATGATTGTTTAAATACTCCCAGTCTGCATATTAAATGTGTCTTATTAAGTGCATTGTATGGCTGTTACTTCTAAATCAGACACAGTTGAAAAAGAGTAAAGAGGGGGAGGCTGGACGCAGTCCAGCGGCCTGCCAAGCATGCGCTTTCATTTATCTGACCTCCATTTCAAATAAAAATGTAATGGAAAATTAATCATGAAAGGATATTAAGGATGGTGTCAATTTCTAAATTTAATTTCCCTGTTTGAAACAATGCCAGAGCCATTAGAGGCATATTGTTGTCTTCATTACAACCCTGTGGTTAGACAGCTTGTGAGATGGCAGTCACCACATCATTTCTGCTCTAATTAAGAGTCTCATGATTGCTCAGCAGCTGAGATGCTGCCTATGCTTTGTGGGGGCCTTCACCTGTCATTGTGCAGCACCTCTCCAGTCTTGGGGTCAATGACGTGGATGATGATGCCTCTGTTGCCCCAGCTCCTCTGAAAGAAGTAGGTGTTTTCGTTGCTTTCTCCAGGGTGGAGGGTCTTGTTTAGGAATGTCCATGACAGCTTCTTTTCTCCGTGGATCTCTAGTGTCCCTCCTGTCCCCACACCAATGTACTTCCTCCCAAAGTAGCTATGTTCCTGATCACTGTCATCCAATCTAAGAACAATGTGACAGTATATAACAATTAAAAACATTTACAGTATACTGTAATTTTGTGTTTTTGTACAAGCAGTAAAAAGTGTGTTTCAGTGTTTGTGTTCATGAATGGGCAAATGGCAACAAACTGTCCCAGCAACACGAACCCTAATGTCGATACAGAAGAGTGTTTATCAGACTTTTAAAAACAACTATTTGTGGCATTTTGCATTCATTTGTGGTAGTTAGTAGTAAACAGAAACTGGAAAAATGCATGAGAGCAGGGGTAGATAAAGGTGTGATGAAGGACCTGGACTGCAACATGGGGAATGACCACAAATCCCATGAAAAGACCAAGACCAACAAAGTGTTAGTCCCACTCTAAAAACTTTAACTTATACCCTGTCTGTAGCACTCAGCCCCAAGCCCCTGGTTTCCAGTGAAGACACAAAACTTTATCAAAACCCAAAGTCTAGATCATGTTAATGTAGATGGAAACTGGATGATCTGTAACCACTCTGATGATCCTCTGGGCCAGACATGTGCATATCAAGTGTCATGGCTACCCATGCAATAATTCAAGGGTTTTAACTAATTGAGGCCCAGGGACCACCAGTCTGAGTGAGAAGCAACCTGAGGACCACTGCTGCAGGGTGGAGAGATTGAGGCATAATTTTAATTCTGAAAGTCACCTTGGCTTTTCTAAGTTGTGTATATTTATATGAATTGTATGTATTTGAATGAATTGGATTATTCACAAAGAATAAGCAATATGTGGAAAAGTGTCAAAATAATGACAAAAAAGATCCATCCATCCATTTTCTATACTGCTTAGTCCCAAACGGGGTCACGGGGGGCTGGAGCCAATCCCAGCCAGCTGCGGGTGAGAGGCGGGGTACACCCTGGACAGGTCACCAGTCAAATACAGATCCCTACAGTGACATTACATTATTGAATACATGGGCAGCGGCCACTTGCAATGCCTTTGTGAACCACCAGGGGGTTATGGACCACTGGTTGAAAACACCTGCAATAACTGATGCATTGACACATTTCACTTGAAATTTCAAGTGCTGGTCTGATGGTGGCTCACAAATATACACTATATGATTCTTTTGAAAAACAAAAGTTTAGTAATTCTCTCCCAGGATGACATCCACAGGGCACGAGGGGTCACTGAATGATGACCATGAAAATGATGTGAATATACTGTGGCCTTCACAGTCACCAGATGTCAAGCCAGTTGAACAGCTTTGAGAGACTGTGACCAACGTGTTGAACAGCACTCTGCACCACCATCATCAAAACGCAACATCCCTCCAGTAGAGACCAGCGACTTGTCGAGACAATGCCAGGGTGCATTGAAGCTGTTTTGGTGTCTGGTGGTGGCCCAACACCTTACTGAGACTCTGTGTCGTGTTGTCCTTAAATTTCTCACCCCTCTGTATAGATCAAAATGATTATAACCAATGTTAATGTGTTGATTAGTGTCACTTCTTGAAAACACATAGCTGTACCTTCCAAACAGGGAGATGGTGAGGTTGCCTTTATAAGGACAGTCTGGGCTTCCAATGTGTAGCTCCCCTTTGTTCCCAATCAGAATGTGTTTAGTTCGGAGCAGTATGGGTCTGTTGGTGTCAGCAATCACCAGCTTCCCTAGAAGGGAGACAGGGTGGGGTTGGGGGGTTGGGGGGAGAGTATTGAAGCATTCTGGCAGGTCTTTTGTCCTCACACACCTCTTGTCTGCCTACCATCTATGGCCCTGGGCTCAGACTGGACACACACACACACACACAGATGTTGCTGGCCAACCACCCCGTTCCCAGGTCTGCAAGTGGTGAACATTTGTTGAACATCAAACACCATCTGCTGTATGTTCTTCTCTGCTCTGAACGGTCGAGGCTTTCACAACATTTTCTTTAATTGTGCTGGTTGTCTTTTGTATAATATATTCAACAAGAATGAATACATAAATTGAAATCTTTCTACTTACTATCCTAAAAATTGGTCATCATATGATGTAACGAGTGGCACCTGGTGATGCTCTGCTCCTAATATACAGTAACTTCTGAAAACACAACAAACGGTTCTGTACCGGAAACAAATTCCTTGTGTGTAACATACTTGGCCAATAAAGGTGATTATCCTGATTATTATTACAAGTCAGGAAAACTCTATGGGTCTCATTTTCCTACAGCATAATCTCTGTGCCACTTCATTCATAGTCCTTATGCAGTTTTCAGCTTGTCCAGTCCACATGTTGACGTGTCCTTGAGCAAGACACTGAATCCCCAGTTGCTCCCGGTGATAACACCAGTGTGTGTGAGCATTTGAGAGTGCGAATGGGTGAATGGCCAAGTAGTGTGAAAGCACTTTGAGTGTGCTACAATGCATAGAAAAGCGCTATACAAGTGTAAGCCCATTTAGAAGAAGAAGAAGAAAAAGAAAAAGAAGAAGCTTTATAACATTGTGACAAGTACTATGAAATTTTGTTTGGAGCCGAGGGCACCAGGCCACTGTATGCATACGAGCCGCCATTATGGGCAACTTGGGGGGTTCAGTGTCTTTACCATTTACCTTGGGCACATGTTAAGTTGTTTTTTTTTTTTTTTTTTTTTGGCACATTGGTGTGTTTGGTGTTTTCCTGCCATGCATGAATGTGTTTATGCTGAGGTGAGAGGAGAGGCACAGTTGAGGCAGTGTGTATGCTGATTAGGCAGTGCAGTGCAATGTTGATTCAACAATGATAACACCTGCTCAGACCACCTCATCACATTTATAGGTGCATTTGCAATTCTACTGACAAGTGCATAGGCTGTGAAGCATGAGATCAGGTAGGCAAATGTATTTTAATGGAAACTATCTTAAAATTAACCCTTAAATTCACCCAACTGATCTGCTGAAATTCACTGTGAATAATTCATTGTTTTTAAGAAAAATAAACTAGTCCTATAGAAATGAATATGGTCAAACGGTGTTGGTGAGCTTCAGAATGCACCGACAGTAGCCTTCTTACAGGATGCAGCCAGAAGTGATGTGCAGCCAGTGTTTGGGAATCCAAATCCACATTAAAACAATTCACATAACATGTGAACGCAGCTCATGAGCCTATATAAATAATAAACATCCTGCAGACATATCCATTAATCCTGTTACACAGCAGGTAAAGTGACGAGGCATCAAATATACATTAAAATATTATGTAGTGGTTAAAAATAAACAGGGTTCCAGAGGTAACAGTATGTAGTTCATATATAGATATTATTTGTACTAGTTGTATAAGGGTGAGCTACGTGGTTAGGGGTTCATTAAGTTCATGTGAGCTGAACAATGGGCTTATGTAAGTTGGTCGAGATGTTTCCTGTTTTTGAAGTACATCTCAGGGTGTTGTCTCCTGAAACTGGAGACAGGAAGCTAAGTTCAGAAATTGACATAACAGCCTAAAGAAAGCTGCGGATAAAAGAGTGACCCTGAAGGGTTAGTGAGAGAGAGAGAGAGAGAGAGAGAGAGAGAGAGAGAGAGAGAGAGAGAGAATGCTACTGGGACAGTAAACCATGTGCTTTTTGGGGCGACGTCACGGTCCTTGATTTTAATCTATTCATAAAGGGCTTTTGAACAGCTCTTAGTCTGACCTGTCACCAGGACCTGTTTGCCTTGGGAGACCCTACCAGGGACATATAGCCCCCGACAACATAGCTCCTAGGATCACTCGGGTACTCAAACTCCTCCACCACAATAAGGTGGCAGTTCAAGGAGGGGGTCCAAGGCAAACAGGTCTTGGGTGACGGATCAGACTAA